CATACACGCTACTGTTACGTGTGTGCAGTTTGAAACGTTAATTCGGGATTGAATATAGCTGCGCGATCTGGATCCGGCTGACATTACTCTATTTAAGAGTCTAAATTGCGCTGGGATTGTGTCCTGCACCCATGTGTGTGCGCTTTATACGCGGGCTCATGCGAACGTGCTTTTAACGAAGTACGTGATCTCGCTTCTTTGTGCTCCGTGGCGGTCGCGCCACATGCCCGGGGAGTGGCTTTTGGGGTATGCACCTGTACTGGACAGTGGTCAGTGCGGAGTAATTGCACTTGGTGCACATGGTGCGCGGAGTGGCGTGCCTGGTGAGGTTGCACGAAAGTGAACGCGTGGCGGCGCGCGCCGCGCTTGCATGTGCATGGCTGCTATGGCCGCGACTTTTGCTTGCGGTGACGTGTAGTGACGCTTTGCATGCAACTTTCCGTATGCCACTGCTTGACTGCATGCGTAATTAATTAGCTAAGTGCAGTGTCGTGGGCCGGTGGCGGCTGGTCAGCTGCTCCTCCGTCTCTCGGAGGGTCTCCGCTGCCCTTGCGGGGCGCCTTGCGGGCCTTTGGGACCCGCGGTCTCCCCCTCGCTGTTTAGCCGGAGTGGACGTCCTTGGGGTCCAGCGCTTTCTTACCTCGGCCTGCACGCGTCCTGTACCCGCTGCGCCGGCTGGGAGATAATTAAAGGTAGGAGTAGTGAATACGCCGTTGCCAGGGAAAACGAAAATTTCGTGTGGCCCTTAACGGGAAGACGGCGCTCTTAAAGCGCGATCATAAACGTTTGTATAGAGTGATATATAACGAAAGATACAATTGTTGTATATTAGTTTGACTTTTATCGAAGGACACTTGTATCCTCACGTGTATTTGAAGGAGGCGCCTATGCGCTCCGTACGCGGGTGGCCCATTTCGGAGCCCTGCGCGGTTGTCAATTGCAAGAATTTCCTATATCAGAAGATAAAGGAAACCGCGGGAAAAACCTGGCAACGGGTGACATAAACTGAATATAAACATATAAACGAGTCTTGGGCGCGCCGGTGCAACAAATGCAGCCATTGCACTAAGGGCCTGCATCCGTGCGCGAATGTGCGAAACTGCACGTGCTTGTGCCGCTGGAAAACCTTGACGTGCGGAGGGTGAGCAACGAGAGGAGCCCACCAGCTGAGAGAAGAAGACGTTAAACGGAGCATGTGGCACATGCACATAAGTGCATAAACTGTTGTTGTCCTTTGTATTGTGCACTCGTGCGAGCTGGATAGGGCGGCTTTTCGTGCCGCATGTGCGGACTCCGTTTAGGAAGCATGTAGTGCGCGAGAGCGGAAGTGTTCGCGAGGAAATACGATTAAAGCGTCTCCCATAGAGGAATATATAAATACATTAATAATAACATAAAATATAATAGATTTCATTACTCTATTACAAGAACAGTAAATTATTAATGTAAGATCACTTGAAACTCTAAAGATATTGAGAAAGAACATATAAAAGTGCTGATATTGCTCGTTCGATTGATACTTTTGCGGAATGATAAACGGCTTCTAGGGAGGAAATTGCGTTTTGTTCCTCGTCATAGATCACGCGTTTGATAGCTAACGCGAGAGAGATAGCGTTCCGAGACGGCCTGTCTGTCATACGAGTGCTTCCGCAGGTGACGGGAGAGGTTATGGCGCCCATGGCCGAGCGGTGCGACGAGAAGGATACCTGAGACTCTATGTGTTTTCTGAGTGTATTGTATGCACGTGAAGACAAACTTCATACTCTCCTTCGGATATATTTGGTTATACCGAAGAAATGTGTAGTACATAAAAGTGGTGTGGATTATATCATATCACATACATACACAGGAAATAACCTATAATCTGTGTGTTGAAAATGTGGCTATGAGAAGGATATATTATTCCTTTAAGTGTAGGAATATAACATAGACAGGGAAGTAGTATCCGGATGTTTGTTATTACGTTAACCATTAAATTCTGAATAAATAACTGTACACATATAGACTCACAGCAATACACTGTGAGCAAGCATGTGGTGTCATGCTCCGGTGCATAAACTGTAGTTTTTAGAATAGAAGCTGAATGAGAGTTATTAAATATTAATTATTATGTGCTTAACGGAGATAAAGTGACTGCTTTTGATTTATGATTGAAAATACAGTCTGCGGAGGTGACACATCACTATATACAGAGAAGGGACCATGAAACCTAAAATACTTAAATTACTGCTGTGGGAATGACATACTTATTTGTTAAAGTATAGTATAGGAAAGTAATTAAAAAGTACTACCATCTCCTTAGTTGAAGCTAAAATTGAGACATATACACAGCATATAGTAGTATAATAACATATAGTGGGTGTACGTAGCGCTGCGATGCCAATGCTGTGAGCTTGGTTTATGTTAGGCAGTAGCGTAAGAGGTAGAAAGTATATAAAACATTTAATATACGTGAATGAAAGATGTTTTGTATATAAGATTTGAGATTCGATAGCCATATCGAGGAGATGACATTTGAAGACTACATTACTAAGGCAGCTGTGAGCTTGGTTTATGTTAGGCAATAGCGTAAGAGGTAGAATGCATATAAAACATCCAATATATGTAAATAAATGATGTTTTGTATATAAGATTGGAGATCCGATAGCCAGATCGACGAGATGACATTTAAAGACTGCATTACTAAGGCAGCTGTGAGCTTGGTTTATGTTAGGCAGTAGCGTAAAAGGTAGGAAGCATATAAAACATTTAATATACGTAAATGAAAGATGTTTTGCATATAAGATTAGAGATTCGATAGCCAGATCGAGGATATGACATTTAAAGACTGCATTACTAAGGCAGCTGTGAGCTTGGTTTATGTTAGGCAGTAGTGTAAAAGGTAGGAAGTATACAAAACATTTAATATACGTAAATGAAAGATGTTTCGCATATAAGATTAGAGATTCGATAGCCAGATCGAGGAGATGACATTTAAAGACTGCATTACTAAGGCAGCTGTGAGCTTGGTTTATGTTAGACGGTAGTGTAAGAGGTAGAAAGCATATAAAACATTTAATATACGTAAATGAAAGATGTTTTGTATATAAGATTAGAGATTCAATAGCCAGATCAAAGAGATGACAGTTAAAGACTGCATTACTAAGGCAGATACCAGTGCAGTGTTATTTGCAAACTAACAGTGGAGATATATTACTGCGGGGATACGTATCTCTTTGCTGTGATGTGTGTAGATTAAAGTTTGGGAAAATCAAGGTTATATACATATGGTACATAATATTACAGTATAGTGGGGCACACACGTGGTGTTGCTGCGCCAGCGAGAGCGCCTGGTTTACGTTAGGCAGCAGTGTAAGAGGTAGAAAGTATATAAAGCATCTAATATACGTAAATAAAAGATGTTTTGCATATAAGACTGGAGATTAGATATTTAGATTGAGGAGATGACATTTAAGACTGTGTTACTGAGGGTAACTAAGTAGTGAATGTACGGTGTGTGAGAATGACAAGTTTATAGTGCTCAGGAGTGGATTAGCAATTTTCATTAACCTTGGCACACTAAAGTTAAGTACAGAGATAGATAATAATTTGAGGGGAGTGCCGCGTCGAAGTTAACTCATAGCGAAGCAAGGGTTATCAAGAATCATCGGCCTGTGAATGTGGCCGCCATCTGACAGGTGGAGATTAGGTTCCCCATGTCCGATGACTGAGATGAGAAAATCTTGAGCGGTGGACCTTGGGAGAAGGTGCGAACTAAAAATATCATTGTTTCCGCATTGACCTCACGCATCTTGACACCGGGGTGACACTCTTAGCCCGTAAAAGCGGCCGGGTGATTCTCCCCCGGGAAGGGGTTGCATACTTTTGATTTGTTTCCTCCCTCGTTTTTTCTGCATTTGGAGAAGCGGATCCGCGGGGGGCGAGTACCAGGTAGGCCCCAGACTCGCCTGGCCGCGGCACCGAGGGAGTTCCGGCCGCCGTTTGAGGTTGGTGCTGCTGTGAATCGGTCATGAACTATCGCGACATAGAGAGCGAGTGGATGCTCAGAGTGTGTTCGTAAAGGCACGAATATAGTAAATGAATAGTAAGAAACTTTCCTTGACAAAACGATATCGGGCATAGACTAAAAGATACTACAAGTGTTGAAGAGCGAAGTCAAGACCGGTTTTCATGAACTTCCAATTATATTCTGAAGGGAACGTGAATAATGCGGGAATGCTTGTTACGGCTTCTAATGTGACTCTGTTAGATGGCTTCTCATCTTTGTTACTAATATTAACATAAATCAATGGTGTTTCGGGTGGTTCTGCACCTGCTGGGCCGAATATCTAATTGAAGTGGGTTGTCTGGCGGAGTTGCTCTGAGAGTCCACATTAGCTCGGGCTTTTATGCGGTAGTGTTGGTACACATAATCGTGGCGAACATTATTGATCCCTCCTGGGACACATCGGGTACATATCCGTTTCCTGGGACAAATACGTCATATGCGGATTGTAGCTTTTGTAAATATTATTTTAGGATTATTTGTTGTTTAAACTGAGTTCAAATTTTCTTTTATTGCGTTTCATCATTATTATTAGTTAAAGTTAATGAGTTCGGTTGATAGTATTAGTTTTGTTATCGTTATTGCGGCATAGCGTTGTCATCATTATTTGAACATTGCGTTCGTTGTTTAAATAGAGTTGTGTTAAATTAGTTAAGATAGATTAGTTTTTAAGTGCATCATATTGGTATCGGCGGTTCGATGGTGCTGTTGAGTTGAGTGAAGCTTTGCTCCTCCTCCAGCTTCTTCGGACTCGCGGCTACACTTGTGGGGTAGCTAAAAATTGCTACGTCGGACTAGATAACTGAACGAAGACTCAAGAATCAAGTTAACAACGTGTAGATAATCTTAATTGAGTAACGTTAACACGGCCTCTAGTGCTGCGCTTGCGCACAACGCTTTTTCTAGAGAGTGCCGGTGTTGGCGTGAGCAGGTATAACATCAAGATCCTTTCTCCATGTCTGTTGATCCCCACAATCCAGACATGAGCAACCGGGGCAAGAGAGGAGCTCTTGGAAAAAAGCCGAATCCCAACTCAGCTAATATGGACAGCAAAGTTAAGGGAAAATCACCCTCGGGGACTCGGACTCCCGAGGAACGGCGCGAGGAGGGCCCTTGTCCCTACCCTCCCGCGTCGACATCGTGCGAAGGGAGCGAGGTGGGGGGGACCACGACCCCCTCACTTAAAGCAGCGATCGTGAAGATTGAAAGGGTTAATATACATGTACCTGGACTGACGGACAAGCCCAGGTCGACGAGTGGGGGCACGCTCCCATCAGCTGATGTCAGCATGGAGGTGGCCGAGGAAGGTCATTTTGAGAAGCCTGCCGATAGGTCAACGGGATCGAGAAAGAAAATAGTGGCCTCTGCCAAACCAAACTCCCCGGACCTGGAATATGTGGACACAATGGAGGCCGGCCCGTCGTCTAGGCCGAGTACCCCTCAGGATCAGGATCTGGAGTTTGTGTCATACACATCTGCCTCAAGACCGAGAAGGAATTCGGGGTCCTCGCGGGCCTCGACAAAGAAGAGGAGGATTATCTCGTCACCAGATGACTCTGACGATGATAAGCAGCCTCCCGGTAGGTTTACCGACGTGCAAAGACAGGAGGTGGAGGGCCTCCTTGATCAAGTCGAAGAACTCTCCTCAGCGGACATGGCAGCCTTAGCCAATGAGTGGCTCGAGACTGTCGAGGATCGCAGGCAAAGATCCAAGAACATTAAGGGATCGTTCGCACACGCCATGAAAGTGAAAGTGGCTGCAACAGCGGGAGTGGTCAAAATCCTAGCCACGAGAGCGGCAATGGATGGCGACTCGGGCTTCATGCGCGCGAAGATCCTGTCCCTCCAGCAGGAGATGAAAGAACTCAGGGAAGAGAATCAGCGCCTCAGACTCGAGATGGATGATTTGCGAAGTGGTGCCCCGATTTTTGGAAATGCGGCTACGAGGGATGATAGACTGGAGGCGGTGAAGTCCCCTGGGCCATCTGCAGAATATTATAGTCCGATGGCGGTCACCCCGCAAATAATAGAGGATAGACCTGTGGCGGATAGACTCAGGACCCCGGGAGGGAGGAGAGACCCCCCCCCCGGTGGCAGCAAGGAGTCCCCTTGGAGAGGACTTCTTCTGTAAGCTTACCGCTGCTGTCAGTAGTGCGGTTGCTGGAGCCCTTAGGGAACATCTGCCGGAGGCTCGTAAAGGCGGACCTCGGCAAGAAAAGGGCCCGCGGCGACTATTTGAGAGAACTGGCCGGCTAGAGGGCCACCCCCACTCATCAGCGGTCACTGAATCTCAGACGGAGGAGAATGGCTTTACCCAAGCTAAGTCAACTAGGAAGAGGACGAAGAAGAGAGGATCTCGAACCGGGAAGGAGGAGGCCCCTCGAATTCCGGCTGAGCAAGGAGGGAACCGGGCGGATGTTGGAGACGGGACCGCAGAGTTCCCGCCATTGCCAGTGGAGGGAAGGACGGTGAAACCGGCCCCTGCCCAAAGAGTAGTTCCCATGGCGGAGCGTAGACGACCCCCGCGTTCGGCGGCGGTGTCGATGTCCTTTCCCGAGAATATGAAATTCGCCGATGTCGTTAAAAAGGCCCGCGACAGCGTGAACTTGGGAGATTTGGGTATCGAGCACACCAGGCTTAGGGCCACAATGTCTGGGGCTGTGTTGGTAGAGATCCCGGGCAATGACATGTCCCCAAAAGCGGACACCTTGGCAGCCAAACTGCAAGAAGTATTTATGGATTCTGGAGTTAGGGTCTCCAGACCTTCGTTGAAGGGAGAACTCCGTTTATCCGGACTTGATGCGTCCATCAGTCCAAGGGAGCTTAGAGCGGCAATGGCTGAGGCTGGAGGGTGCGCTGCAGATGACATTCGTATGGGCCATACCAGAGCCACGAGGAATGGCTTGCGAACAGTATGGACGCAGTGTCCATTGAATGCTGCGATACGCCTGGCCCAGGCGGGGAGTTTGAGAGTAGGCTGGTCTACGACGAGGGTGGACCTCCTTAAAAGACGCCCTGCCCAATGTTATAGGTGCTTTGCTACGGGGCACGTCAGGGAGAGATGCCCTAGTGAAGTTGACCGGGCGTCCTGTTGCTTTAATTGTGGCGCGGATGGTCATCTAGCGAAGGACTGCGGTAGGCCGGCTAGCTGCCCTATCTGCAAAGAGGCGGGAAGAAGGTACGATCACAGGGCGGGATCGGAGGTGTGTCCCCCCTGTCCGCCGAGGAGGGGTGTTGACCAGAGCCCAAAACCCTCAAGTCCAAAACCACAGAGAGCGGCTGATCGGAGGAGTGCGGCCGTATCAAGTCAAACAAGATAGGGTTGATTGTCCAGATCAACCTGAACAGGTTAATCGGAGCGCAGGACCTTCTTATGCAAGTGATGCATGAGAGGGGCTGCGGATTGGCCTGCATACAAGAGCCGTATATAGTGCCGACGGACCCACGATGGGCCGGATCATCCGAGGATCCCCCCTTAGCCGCTATAACTTGGCAAGGACCACTGGCTGCTGGACCGGTTACCGTACTCGGGCGAGGGCCTGGCTTTGTCGCGGTCAGGTGGGAGGGAATTGTAATCGCCTCCTGCTATTTCTCCCCTAATAAGGGAATTAGGGAATTTAAGGCGTATTTACAAATGGTGACCGATACCGTTTCTCAGTACTCAAGGGGCCCCCTAATTATTATGGGGGACTTCAACGCCAGATCACACCTCTGGGAGGATACCCACCCTACCTCACGCGGAGATGCCCTGGTGACCTGGGCCGCTGCCTTAGATTTGAGACTGATTAACGAGGGTACGGCCCCTACCTGTGTGAGACCGCAGGGGACCTCAATCGTCGATTTGACTTGGGCGTCCTCTGCAATTTTACCAATGATTGTCTCATGGGTAACAGCGGTGGAAGCGGAATCACTATCGGACCACCGATATATTTTTCTTGCGCTGGGGAGGAATCCGGGGACCGCTCGGGAGAACCCAAAAGGGGGTTTCCCCAAATGGAATATTAAGAGCCTGAGGACCGACTTGCTATTAGCAAGTTTGATTATAAACTTTTGGTCGGGATCAGCTGGAGATGGGGGTGCGTCGGAACAGGCCAAACGTATACAAAACGCGTTAACGGAGGCCTCGGACCTTGCGATGACTCGTTCCAGATCTGCAAAAAAGAAATCGGTCTACTGGTGGAGCGACGATATTGCGGCTATGAGGAAGGAATGTATCCACCTAAGGCGTAGGATTACCAGGGCTCGCAAGAAGAACCGCGCGGCTGACCCCCTTTTGGAGAGGGAATTGGCCCAAGCGCGCAAAAGGCTTAGAATAGCCATTAAAGAGGCCAAGAATGGAGCCTGGAGGGAGTTTATCTCAACGATCGACCGGGACCCATGGGGCCGCCCGTACAGAATCGTGACGGGTAGACTGCGTTCCCTCGAGAAGCCGGTCTGCGAGGCACTTGCCCCGAGAGATGTCTTTCGAATAATATCCGGGCTTTTCCCGAAAATGGAGGCGGAATTGGTTCCCAGACCAAGGGAACTGGTCATGTGGGAGGAAGACCTGGAGGTCACGGACGAGGAGATTCTATGGGCAGCTGGAAAGATGAAGCATAGCGGTAAAGCCCCAGGCCCAGATGGGATTATTGGCGGGGTCATAAGGGAGGCTCTCCCAGAGCTGGTTGGACCGCTCATGCGCTGTTTTACGGCTTGCCTACGAGAGGGAGTTTTTCCAGCATGCTGGAAGCGCGCGAGGTTAGTCCTGCTAAAGAAGCCGGGTAAAGCTGAAGGAGTCCCGTCTTCCTACCGGCCGATTTGTCTCCTGAATGAACTGGGGAAGATGATGGAGCGCATCATTGTTAGACGCATTAGAAAGTGTATACGCGAGGGCACTGGACTATCGGACGATCAGTTTGGGTTCCGGGAGCAGCGCTCCACCTCGGACGCTATCCTTAGGCTGAGGAGCCTGTTGGACTCGGTCTATGGCGAGGAGAGGCAGCATGCGATCGCCGTCTCCCTAGACGTCACGAATGCATTTAACTCCCTCCCTTGGAAGGGGATTCGGCAGGCCTTAGTTAAAAAAGAGGTCCTTAACTATCTGAGAGCAATATCAGGGGATTACCTTGCGAACAGATGGATCTCCTGGGTTGATGCCAAGGGACGAATAAGCGAATCCTCCATGACGTGCGGGGTACCTCAGGGCTCAGCCTACGGACCCGAGAGCTGGAATTTGGCGTATGATGAGGTCCTGGACACTGACATCCCGTCGGGATGCCACATCATTTGCTATGCGGACGACACACTTGTGGTGGCCCTGGGGGATAACCTCGATGTCGCCACCGCTAGGGTAGAGATGGCTGTGGCCTTGGTGATGAGGCGAATCGAATCACTTGGCCTGAAGGTTTCGCCCGCGAAGACCGAGGCTGGTGCGTTCTCGAAAGCACACAGGTTCGTGCAAAATCGGTCGGTGTTGGTTGGGGGGGTTTTGGTTCCTCTGAACTCCTTTCTGAAATATCTGGGGTTGACCATCGGACGCAGATGGACCTTCCGCGAGCATTTCGCTGAAATTCTACCAAGAGCTGAGAGGATGTCCCTTGCATTGGCTAGGCTTATGCCCAACCTGAGGGGGCCAAATGAATGGGTGAGGCGGCTCGGGAGCGTCCCGTTTGACCACGTCCCGATTGACCACAGCCACTCACAGCGGCCGGTGCCTAGAGATTTTCCACTGTTCAAGCGCTGTGAGTGGCTGGTGGTCAATCGGGACGTGGTCAATCGGGTATCACCCGGCGGCTCTACTGCGCGGTCATCCACTCGGTAGTGTTTTATGGTGCCCCGGTTTGGGCCCAGGCGCTTAACCTCGATAAGAAGATTGCAAGAGACATCAGGGCCTTGCAACGGAGGGTTGCGATCAGGGTAATTGCGGCCTACCGCACCCTGTCGTACCCAGCGGCTTTCTTGCTGGCGAGAGTCATGCCAGTGGAATACCTGGCTGGTAGACTGGCAAAAGTGTTCCTCGACACACGCGATCTCCAAAGGGAGGAGATTCCTATAACGCACCGGGTGCACGAACGTATAAGGGAGAATGCTCTGGAAGAAGCCTTGACAAGGTGGGAGGCCGACTACAGGAGACCTGGAACAACGGCTGTCGCGGTTCGGGAAGCGGTAGCGCCAGTATTGGATCGGTGGTTTAGGCGTACGCATGGGCAACTGACATTTAGAATGACGCAAATAATTACCGGGCATGGGTGTTTCAATTTATTCCTTCATCGGATTGGGAAGGCCCCTAGTAGCTTCTGCTCCTTCTGTGAGGAAGGCGAGGACACGAATATGCACACCTTGGGCTATTGTACGGCTTGGGTCCCGGATCGAGAAGCCCTTACTGCTGTTATTGGCCCGGAATTAGATCTGAGATCGGTGATCTTCTCTATTTTGCAGACCCCGGCCAGGTGGGCTGCGTTCAAGGAATTTTGCGAGGTAGTCATGCTTAGGAAAGAGGAGGCTGAAAGGGCAAGACAAGCCCAGGCCGCAGCGGAGGAAGCCTTGTTGGTTAGGGTAGATAACTTGAGAGAGTCGGACGAAGAAGATTAGTAATTACACTAGCCCAACTCCTTGTTTTGGAGTTTTTCCTTTGTCCTCAGTTGCTGACCTTAATTGGGGCGGTATTTTACCGCAGTTGCCTGCTTGAGGTAAAAGCCTTTTGCTCTTACGATCCCCGAGGGTGGCCCCGAAGTAATGCCTCGTAGCGGTTCCAGGGCCACCCTCATCGTGAGATCGGGTCGTTTCTCTTCCGTGGTGAATTTTTAATGGGTAGGCGTCTGGACCTCGTCATCCGGTCAGACGAATCCCACACTCCCCTGCTGCAGGCGCAGGGGGTCTTCA